TTGTTCTAATAGTAGTTATTAGGACGATTCTGCTATTTGTTAGTATTAAAACGGGCGCGATACTCGCCTAACGATCCGGTTCGGCTAGGATTATCCTTCTAATTCCGAGTACCGTCGGCTCTCCTTAGTAGATTATCGCGACCGACTTCCTAATAGTTAGGCTAGCGACGATTCTTACCTCTAGTAGCTATCTGCTCCTATATATAGAACTTCTTCTCGTAGGCTATAACGAATTCGTTTGTCGTCGTATCCTCGTCTAGTTCGAATAAAGCCTCCTAGAAACGCGGCTCTAAATAGCGATAGGCCTATAGGATCTATAGTTCTTTACCGAAGCTAGCGTCGCCTGCTAATCTTATCGTTGTAACGATATAGTCTGTAATCGACTTCCCTACTCTAACGTCCTTCTAGCTATATAACTGCTAGTTAAGTAGCTTTATCGCCTTTACCGCCGAAACCTTCTAGCGCTTACTAAGCTTCTCTTACTAACGCTTAATGCCGTACCCCTTGCGAAGATAGCGGCGATCTTAACTAGAAATCTACGCCTAGTACTAGGTCTATACAATTCCGCGGAAACAAAGGGAAATATTAAGGCGAACCTCCTCTAATCCTACGATATATATATAGTCCTTAGCCGCCGAGATAAAGGCGTATACTAATCGGTAGGTCATTTTGTTACCTACTAAGGCGTAATCGCTATCGCTATATTCCGTTATACTTAGCGTCGGGTCGAAGAATCCTAGATAGGCTAGATCGAACCTAGGATAGTGCCGATAGTCGGCTAGTTCTTCGGAGTCTAATTTAGACGAGGAACGATCTCTATAATAGCGATAATAGCGAGCCCGGCGATACGCGCTATATTTTCCGCTATAGTAGCTATTATTGTCGCTCGACGAGCTATTAGATAGCGAAGAGGAACCGCGAGCGCGATACTTTCCCTTCCGGTTCTTACGCTAATAACCGGGATTTAGCTCGCTATACTCCGTATAGCTATCGTATCGGTTAGCGTCGTACGAGCTACTATTTTACGTATAAGGGCCTAGGGTATAAGCTTGCTAGTAAGCTTATTAGTAATAGCGAGGATTATCTAGACGAAATTAGCGCGACTAGCCTATATTCCCTCTAGTATAGGTAGCGTAGCCCTAGGGCGGCGCTTATTAATAGTAGCAAGGGTTATCGGGAGCGAATTGTCGTATCTAGCTAGGAGTAGCCTAGCCCTAGGCGTACGTTTGCTAGTAATATAGTAGATTGGGAGCGAATTAGCCCGTCTAGGTAGCGTTTCTATTACGTTTAGGCTCCCGAGTAGCCTAGCCCTAGGTATACGGTTGCTAGTAACAGCGTAGATCGGGAGTAAATTAGCCCGCCTAGCTAGCATTTCCGTTACGTTTAGGCTTACGAGCGGCCTAGCCCTAGGCGTACGTTTGCTAGTAATTATATAGATTATTAGGAGCAAATTTGCCTATCTAGCTAGTATTCCTATCGCGTCCCGGTTGCTAGTAGTAGCGAGGATCTCCGCTAGTATTCCCTCTGCTATAGGTAGCGTAATTATAGCCTTAATTACCGTCTAGACCTAACTGCGGGCTATAGCTAGCTAGTTAGCCGTCGGGCGAGTTATTTAGATCCTATAGCGAGTCGCGGCAGCTGCTCTCGGAAACCAAACCCGCTCTCTTAAGTCGCGACCTCTAACGCCGGCTAAGATAGTCCTCGACTTGCTCTCGGAACTCGTAGCTATAGTAGCCGTCGCGGTCCTCCTACCTTAGCTCGTCCTAGCCGATATAGGAACGATCGCTACCTACGATATGCGAACGATCGTCGCGACTATTATTATAGTCTTTAGGGCCCGCCTAGGAACCGGTCTAATCCGGTTAAGGAGAAAGGTATTATTCTATAAGAAATTAGGCGAGGCGATTATCTAAGATAATGCCTCGACGTAGTACCGACTTCCGTAAGGTATATAGGCGCTACTAGTCTAGTTGTTTACGGATCTCGCTACGATCTAGCTCTATCGTAGACCCTATAGATAGCGGACGCTAGTGCCGGCTACGAGGCTTACTATTGCCTAGATTTCCCTTCGTTAGCCCGCGGCCTCGCGGCGCGTCCTTATAATTGTAGTCTATCGGGCCTCGTCTATTATCTAGTAGAGGATATAGCGAGGATTCTAACGGCGAGGATTTATCGCTAGAGATCCTTATTAGTAATAGTCTACGTAGAAACACAGAGGGTAATGTACTATCTATATAGTTATTAGGACGTCGCGCGTATAGTTGTTCCGAATAGGTAGTAGCTCTAGGCGGTCGATACCTACTCGGAAAGGGTAGTAGCAATAACGCCGCCTACTAAGTAATCGGCGAAAACTCTAGTATCCGCGAAGAAGGCGAGCGATAAGTAGCTAGATCGGGCTACGGGCGTTACTCTCCTACTCGTACTCGTTCGATATCCGTAGGCGAGTATACCTTAGGGAAAAACTGCTTATAATAGTACGAATCGCGAGTGTTTAGAAAAGCTGCTTTTAGTTCCTTAACTAATCGTATTAAGGTACCTTTATCGACTACCTACTAGCTAGGGAAGTCGATTCTATCGAGAGTATATAGGTATAGCTCGTCGATCTTAGCCTAAGATAGTAGTAGATTTCCTAGTCGCGGGTAGTATTATAGGACGTAGGAGGCAAGCAGGTCTATACGGCCGTACTTTGCTCTAAGTTAGACTGCAAAATTCTCGCTATACCGGACGTAGTAGCCGATAAAGGTACAAATGCGTAGGATATAAGACTTAGTATCTAGTAATCTAAGATTACGGTACTAGGGTAGCGGTCGGACCGCTAGTTTAATAGATTTGTGCTTCTATCCGGATTAGAAGCGAAACGAAGCGTAGAATTAATATAAAGCGTTATATAGTAGAGTATCGTTATAGAGGCTGTCCGGATTAGTAGCAAAAGGTAGTTTATTAACTAGTTAGGGCTAATCCTTCCGTTATTCCTCGAAAGGTGCCTTTCTAGGGATACGGGGAAATAGCTACCGGCCGCTAAAGCGCAGCTACCTACCGAATCCGCGGTTAGGCGATTCGGGTATATAGTATATTAGTATCGGCGAGGCACTATAGTAGGTAGCCGCCGACTAGTGCGGAATAGTATAAATCGAGTAAATATCGGTCGTAACGTAGCGAGTCGAATCGTCGTAGTCGGCGCTAGATCGGGGGGATCCTTAGCTAATCGTCTCGGTTCTCGTCGTAATTAGGACTAATAGCTCGGTTCTAGTAGAGGAGTTAATTAGTATAGAAGCTAATTAGGTCGTAATCTTAGCGAAGCTACTAAGTTGTTAGAATACGCTCTATAGAGCGGAGACGGACACGATTCTAGTATATAAAGATAATTAATTGTTCGTTAGTTACTAGCCTAGGAAACTATATATATTAATCGTCCTAATCTACGGTAGGATCGATAGTATCCGAAGCAGAATCGGCCGCACTACTATCTAAACTATAACACTTTCCGTATTATAGGTATTAAATACCGCGCGTAGCGGCGTATTATCCGCTAGAGTACGTTGTCCTTATTAAGCTTATAGCCTATCTTCTTCGTCTTAAAGCCCTTCTCTAAAGCGAAGGTTTCTATATATTTCTCAGGCCTCGGCGGCTATAATACTATTAAATATACGGTTTTCGGGGTTCTCGATAGTAGTAAACGAGCCTGCTTAGTATTCTTCTGTTTCCGACTTAGACTAGTTACTATATTCGTCGTTATTACTAAAGATATACGTAGGTTAAGAGGTAGTCTCGATTTCTAAGGAAGGAAGTTATTCTTACTAACTAACCCCGCTACCGCCGACTATAATACTACTACTACTACTACTACTACTACTAATACTAGTTACAATACTCTTAGCACTAGCGCCGCCCTATATAGAACTAGCCGCCTTACTAACCGTACGAAGCGTAAAGCGTACGATAGTATACCTAGTAGCGTACTATACTATTATCTTATCGAGAAACAGTAGTACTAGGTCCTTAGATACTATAAACTCCTTATCTAGCTCTTTATATAACTAGGGGTCGAGTCCGTTATATCTAGCCTCTATTTTATATATTATAAGGCAGACATAATTATCCCTTACCTACTACGCTATATTAGACCTCTAATCTATAATAATATTATCTAAATACCGCTAATCTATACTATAAAGGTATTCCGTCGATATTAGGCTACGGCTACTATATAGTAACTCTATTTATAGCTTTAAACCTCCTTTATCGCCTTCTTATAGTAGTAGAGCGAAGCCTTAGCGTAGGTCCCTTAGCTAGCGCTTCTTATTATTAAAGAGCGAGGTATTAGTATATTCTTTATCGGTAGCGGCGGCGGCGGCGGTAGCGGCGGTAGTATTAGCTTATAACTGCGTAGAAGGGCTCGATATAGCGGCGATAATAAGGTGCTAGCGATAATAAGGTATTAGCGGCAATAAGGTATTAGCGACAGTGAGGTAAGGCGAGAATCCTGTGGCAGAGAAGATAGAGGCAGAATTAGTGAGGTGTTACTAACCAATTTGCCTCAGGCTCCTCCGTTGCCGGAGGGCGGGTTCACACACAACCAGGGCAGGTTTATGAATAGTCACGCCCCACCAAGACGCGGAGATATTCTACAAGATGCGAGCCGAGCCGCATTTGCGACAGAAGAAGGCGCGTTGATACGGTGGAAACAATGGACTACCCTCGAATATAATGCTATCGCCGCCGCGACTTCGATTCAGAATGGCCTCGTTCGACGTGACAAGTCAGGAGAATGGCATCCGAAGTTCAGCGGGAGTCGACTTGGAGCAGTCAGGCGAGCTTGTCGCCTGTTGATGATGAAAAGAGGGTTGTCGAGCAGCCAAACGAAATGATATCGTATCGCCTGAGAAGGATGTCGAAGCTGGACTCGAGCAGCCGAATGGAAATGTATCGCCATCGTCACCGAAAGACCCGAGTCTTGTCGGATTCGATGGTCCCAACGATCCAGGCAATCCGCTTACCTTCAGCATAAAGAGGAAGACGGCAGCGACGCTTTCCATGGGCTTGATCCGTCGCCATCGAACCCATATCGGATGACTTCGCCATTTTCCAAATTCCCCTCGCGGTCGCTCAGAATGTCGAGACGATCATGATCTGCGCAGTCATACTTCCAATCGCTTTCTTCTGGTGGGCATGCAGTTCTTCGCCGTCTACGCTTTGGGTGTCGCAGGTCATAGCCTCAGCATTCCTCGGCATGGGCCTTCTTGTCACTTTCTGGCAAGGCATGAATTACATCATCGACTGCTATGGCTTCTACAGCAATAGTGCCATCGCTGTCAATACCTTCGTCAGATCGATAGCTGGAGCTGTCTTCCCACTTTTTGCGCCATATATGTTCCATAATCTGGGCGTACCTTGGGCGACGAGCGTGCTCGGATTCATCTGCCTCGCATTCGTGCCGGCACCAATTCTTTTCTACAAATGTAAGCAGTCGAAATTATTACGATTTACGTACACTTGCTGATGACCATTACTTTTAGACGGCGCACGCATAAGAGCTAAATCGAAGTTCACACCTACCGGTTGACAGCAGCATCCACAACCAGGTTGGAATTCCACATGTGCTGGAACTTATTACTCAACCAGGAAAGGAGCTGACAGATCGTCCCGTGGACCTGCATGATACCCCGCCGAGTGGAACAGACTATGACCGCCGCTTCTTTCAGCTCGCGTCGATTGCGATGCCCAAGATGAACGCCGATCGAACGTCAAGCCTGGGGCACACCTCGCTTCATCGAGAGAATGAAGAATATGTGATTGCTTGAAGCCATAGCAGTCATGTAAGAATTATGCAGTATGAAAACTATTCCTAGCTGGTCCTCATATCAAGAGTGTGCAAATCAAGCCGTCAAGGACAACAAGCCAAACGCCTCTTGAACCCAGCCTTGTCAACAGGTATCATAACAATCCAAACTCATGCCGGCGAGAAGGGTACCGTTTCATCCCTCATAATGCTTTACTGTCGTCGACATTAATATCTCAGTTATTGAACTGTCTCATCATGTCACCCTTGACCTTCTCCATAGCATCCTTGAATCCTGCCTCATAGGCGACATCCATCTTTCTGTCTGTCGTGAACTTGGATCCACCACCGCCACCAGAGTTGTTGTTCGAGGATCCCCCATACCCTCCACCTCCAGATCGTCCTCCTCCACCACCATACCCACCTCCACTACCTCCCGAGCTTCCGCCATATCCTCCATATCCTCCTCCCCGGTCGCCACCGTAGCTTCCTCCACTGCTACCTCCAGACGAGTGACCTCCCCCGTACCCACCACTTCCCCCTCCGCTGTGACTTCCTCCTCCGTACCCACCCGAGCTACCACCGTAGGATGACCCGCCTCCAGATCCGCCCGACGATCCTCCGTAACCTCCAGACGAGGAGCCCATGGACGACGAGTTGTTGCTGTGGGAGGACCCTCCTCCGTACCCGCCAGAGGAAGACCCGCCGTACGAGGATCCTCCGCCAGAGTTGGAGTTGTTTCCGCCTCGGGAGTTTCCGCCCATTGAGTTCATGCCGCCGGTTTGCTTGTTGCTGTTTGATGAGGAGTTATTGTTATTGTTGTTGTTGCTTGAGCCGGAGGATGAGCTATTGTTGTTGTTGTTGCTTGAGCCGGATGATGAGCTATTGTTGTTGTTGTTGCTTGAGCCGAACGATGAGCTGTTGTTGTTGTTGCTTGAGGAGTTTGAGTTTGAGTTGGAAGAGTTGTTGTTTGAAGCTCGGGCTGGAGATGAGCTTCTGTTGTTGTTGTTGTTGCTTGAAGAGTTGGAATTCGAGTTCGAGTTGCTGTTGTTATTGCTGCTGTTGCTGTTCCCGCTCGCTACGTTTGAGTATGAGCTTGAAGAATTGCTGCTACTGTTCGAGGAGCTGTTGTTGTTGTTGCTGTTGTTGTTATTGCTAGAATTCGAATTAGACGAATTGTTGTTATTCGATCTACTGTCAGATCCACTTGATGAGTTGTTGTTATTGCCAGACTTGCTCGAGCCCGCGCCGAAATCCTGGATGGCAGTATTCATTGGACGCAACGTGTACGTGATGGGGCACAAGAGGGAAAAGGAGAGAGGGAAAAGGTTCAGGGAGCAAGCTTCTTAACAATTGGGTACTACCTGCACTTGCTCTCCTTTGCAATGCGAGATGACATCGTGGTGTTTGTTAGAAATGCCTAATGACATAGGTGTGCTGGTGTTTGAGTCAGTTGCGTGCATACAGCCTTTTGCCCAAGTGTGGTTCAGCAGGTCTGAGCTCTTCAGCTTCAGCTCTCGAGAGAAACCTGTCTGGCTGGCGGCAAGTCAGGTGCCCGGCACGCGGACCGGCCGCGACTCCTCACTTGATTCGAGTTTGGCTTGAAACTTTATGTACCCGAGGTTGTATTGCTTACGGTATGTGAGCTGCCACCAAGGTAATCCAACTGCCGGTTGCTACGGAATAGACGGGACGGCTTCCGATAGATTCTAGTAAAACCTATAGCTCTTGTAAAATCTACTATTTTTCTAGTAGTCAGGGTATAATAATAATATCTATATAAATTAGAAAGTATTTCCTACTAGTAAGCTACTAGGCTTTCTATAAAATAGTAATACTATAGTAATACTATAAATTAACTTCTTTGAATTAAAATCTTCTATTATTATATTACTATAAGTATAAAAAATATAAAACAATAGTAATACTAAAACTAAAACTAGAAATATTTATATTATAAAAATATCTATAGTTTTAAATAAAGAACTAGAGAAACTTCTAGAGAAATTCAGCTATAGTAGTAGATAGTAGTTTAGTACTAATTTTATCGCTAAACACTATATAAATAATTAATAGCTTTTACTATATTATATCTAGTTCCTATATAAAAGATTTTAACTATTTAATCAAATTAAGAAAGATAAGAAATTAAAGCATGAAAGAGTGAGTACTATATTAAGATTACTATAGACAGATCTACTAAGAGGCTTAGTTAGGTGCGACCGGCGGCAGTCGGAAGTCCTGACTAATGTAGAGGAGAGAATAGTGCTTCGAGCGCAGACCCCGATGCAGGACTCCAACTCTATCCCACCAACCACCAGATTCATTCAGTCACGGTGGTGAGGTGAAATCGTCCTGGTTTCAACTATTCACCCGCTTCCTGCGAGGTCACGAGCAGATCCATTGCGGTCTTCAAGATGGCAGAAGCGCCAATGCCTCGAAAACTTTGGGATCCACCAAATCCCAAGGCCACATTGGCTTACAGGTTCATGCAAGAGATCAACCGTAAGCGTGAAACAAAGCTCGAGACTTGGAATGACCTGCATACTTGGAGTGTAGAGAATCGCGGTGCTTTCTGGGAAGAAGTCTTGCTTCAGCACCCATTGATCTATTCTGGGTCGTACGAGAAGGCGGTTGACGAGAATGCTCGAATGGATAGTGTGCCGCCATGGTTCGACGGGCTTCAGGTGAACTTCGCCGAGAACTCCTTACTATGGCCAGATGAGCATGATACGAGCAAGTCAACAACGTTCAGAAAGGAAGACCACAAGATAGCATGTACGGAAGTACGTGAAGGGGCTTCTGAGATCCGACCATGTACCTGGAAAGAGCTTCGGGAGCGGACTGCCCACCTTTCCAATGCTATGCGAGCTAGAGGGGTGAAGAAAGGTGATCGTGTGGCGATTGTGGCATCAAACAGTCTCGATACGTTGGTTGTGTTTTATGCCGTGACTTCGCTTGGCGGCATTTTCTCGAGTTCTTCGACTGACATGGGAACGAAAGGCATTCTGGATCGCCTTCGCCAAATCAAGCCCAAGTATGTCTTTGTTGATGACTGGGCACTCTACAATGGCAAGACCTTTGATTTGAGAGACAAGATGAATGACATTGTCGCTGGGATGGAAGGCGTCTCAGAGTTGCAAGGTCTTGTGAGCATGCCAAGGACACAAGGCAAGCCCATGGATGTGTCTGCGGTGAAAAGATGCGAGACACTATCGTCCTTTCTCAAGGCTGCTAGGGGAGATAAGACTCTCCGGTTTGATCGCGTTGGTTTCAACGATCCATTCCTGGTTGTCTACTCTTCAGGAACAACCGGGATGCCGAAATGCATTACTCACAATGTGGGCGGGGTGCTCCTGAGCGCTCGGAAAGAAGGCAACCTCCATCAAGACTCCTCACTATACGATCCAGTCGTACTCCAATATACAACCACCGGATGGATCATGTTCTTAAGTTCCCCCCTTTCGCACATCAAGGGTGCACAGGTGATCCTCTACGACGGCTCGCCATTCCAACCAGATTTGAAGATCTTCCTCAAGTTGGCCCAGGATCTCGGCGTGACTGATCTTGGGATTTCTCCAAGATACATGCAGACCCTCGCAACAGCAAAACCCCCAGTCTTACCCCGACAGCATTTCGATCTGAGTAAGCTACGTCGAGTGCTCACTACCGGCATGGTCCTATCCGAAGCACAATTCGAATGGTTCTACGATCACGCCTTCCCTCCTCACGTCCAACTCGACAACGTCTCTGGTGGCACAGACCTCGCCGCGTGTCTGGCTATGGGGAATACTATGCAACCAGTCTATTGCGGTGGCTGCGCAGGACCAGCACTTGGGATGAAAGTCGAAGCTTATGATTCGACCATCGAGGGTGGTCCTGGCGTCAAAGGTCGTGCTCTGCCACCTGGTGAAGCAGGAGAGTTGGTTTGCACCCGTGGCTTTCCAACACAACCCATCAAGTTCTGGGACGACCCGGATGGAAGTAAGTATTTCAATGCCTACTTTGCCAAGTATGATAATGTGTGGTGTCACGGAGACTTTATCTCTTTCCACCCAAAAACTGGCGGTGTCTGGCTTCATGGGCGAGCAGATGGAGTGCTCAATCCTAGTGGTGTGAGATTCGGAAGTGCTGAGATCTACAATGTGATTGACATCCACTTCAACGAAGAGATACAGGACAGCATATGCGTGGGACAACGACGACCGCAAGATATGGACGAAAGTGTCATGCTTTTCCTGTTGATGAAACCGGGGAAGAAGTTCACGAGTGAGCTTGTAAAGAAGGTTAAGGATGCCATTGCTAGAGATTGTGGAAAAAGATGTGTGCCGAAGTATGTCTTCGAAACGCCAGAGATTCCGGTAAGCACAGCTTCTCCTCATCGCTTCTACGTGGACTCATTATTGGATACTGATTCTCGTGACGTTAGACAACGATAAACCTGAAAAAGGTCGAACTCCCCGTCAAACAGATCGTCTCCGGCAAAACCATCAAGCCCAGCGACACCCTCGCCAACAAAGACTGTCTCAAGTTCTACTACCAGTTTGCCGAAGTCGAAAAACTGTTGCAACCGCAGAGTAAGCTCTAGTCATGTCAGTCACAAGATCTCACGACAACGACTCGCCAGATGCTAGCCTGAAGAGCTGGATCACCGCAAGCAACCATGCTACTCGAACCTACTAGGGTACAGACAGTTGTTGCCGGCATAGGTACAGTATCTGCTATAGAGCGGAGATCTTAAGCTCCAACCAGGAACTCTTCTTCCTCGTGCCTGCAGACGCTGCAGCGGATCGTGACGACAAAATGCTGTCAGGTACCAGCACGTTTAGCGTCTTCACTGACGAGTTCACGGCTGTTTCAGAATTGAACCTATGATTTTGAAGATCACTAGCGATGATACTGAGGTGATGAAGATCTCGTTCTCGATACTTCCTTAGACGGCTCATCAAGCAGTGAAAATCTGAATGATTTGAAAAAAAAAATCCACATTAATCATTGCTATGGCTAATGACACTACATCTAGCTATAGCAGTATCGCCATCTCCAAGAATCGAAATCATACTCTAGATACAAAGGAATGTGGTCGTGAATTTCGTACGTCGCGATTCGTCGTGCCAGCTGCAACAACCCAAACGAGTCAAACCTCAGCCTATACGTCATGGGCTGGTAAGCACGAGTCAGAGGCACGACGCACCGGTCTGGAACCAAACACGTAACCGTCTTACTCCATGTAACCCTTTGGTCCACAGACAGTCGTGGTGAATGGAGTCTTGGTCCGGTAGGCCTTGGTGGAGAGCTGGGTGGTCTTGATGACGCTCTTGGTCTGTGAAGTAAAATTAGCACATTTCACTCACGAGGCACCGCTTTTGGCTTACCTTGTCAGTGATAGCTTTGGTTTGGGTCTCGGTAACGACTTTGGTGATTGTGCTAGTGTATTTCGAGGTGACGACACCGTCCTTGACAATGGTAGTTGGGTAGGTGGTATGCGTGGTGACTGGCTTGGAGATGACGGTGGACTTCTCCTTGGTCTTGGTGACAACAACAGGGAACTTGGTCGTGATGACCTTTGTGGAATACGAAGTCTCAACAACTGGGATCTTGGTAACGCTGGTCGTCAGTTTTGTCACGACAACGTCCTTCGTAACGGTGGAGGTGACTGTGGTAGGCTTCTTGATAGTTGTTACGATGACTGTCGGGATGGTCTTGGTCTCCTTGTCCACAATCTAAATGACCACGTGAGAACAAGCATTTTCGAGTAACGACTTTCTGCTTACCGTCGTATACTTTGTGTATGGCACCTGGGTAGTGATGGTGTTGACGTTTGTGATAGTGGAGTAAGCGGTCTTCGTGCTGTAGCCAGTGCTCTTGGAGCAAGTGTCCTTGGTGGAAGTGGTCGTCTTGCCGTATGAGTCTGGCGTGGTAGCACCTGGGAAGGCATTGGCTACAGAGCTAAGAACGAGCAGAGCAACAGTCGCGAGCTGGATTGGGGAGTACATGATGGCTAGTTAACGATGATGATTGCTTGCTGCAGAAGCTAACGAAGGTAAGTCCGGCTTTGGAGGAATGAAAGGCTGGATCGATTGATTGACGAGTTGCTGATGCTGATGGAGGAGAATGTATGAGGAGAATCAATCACTGCTTTATACCTCATCGACCGAGCTCGAAGACGAGTTCTCGCGTATGCACAATCTGCACAAGAATAGCCTTTCGAGGAGTAACGCTGCGGTACGGTCAAGCACGATGCATACCTCCGATGTGTTCCCAGCACCAGTGGCCAGTCTACGGCGTCGCTCGTCGACAGTTCCAAAGCGAGGCTCCATGAGCTAGTGGATGCGCAGCGACCATGTTGTGCTCTATTGGAAGGTGAAAGGTACCTTCAAGTCCGCGATTTGCAGACACTGTACAGACGGCTTGGCGACAATGAGCAAGTGCAGGAAGTAGGGTCGCCTGACGAGAGCTGGGAGTTCCGGTGTCCACGATGAGGGCAGCTACGCTCTAGCTCTAGGTGCATCGTTCGGAGAGGAGCAGTGGGCAAGGCGGTACTGCTGAAGGTGGACTTGCAGATTTGGGTCGACACGAGGAGGTCGGGAGGCATCATCGCGCCGACCACATGTGCAGTGTTGGCCGGATAATTCGGTTCTTGCTAGCAGTGCAGCGTACGCCTCTGGAAAGCCTCTCGGAAAGCAGTGCTCGGGAGGCTTCCATGTGGCATTCTGGCGCTCGAAGTACAGGCGTCATCTTCGTGGCGCTTGGCGTTGCTTGAGCCCTGGCCGCCCTTGCATTTTCGTGTTCGCGAGAAGCAGGTACGGGTTGGTGGTGCGATGCGCCCGTATAACGAATGCATACATCCGACGTAGCTTTTCTGCGGAAAGATGCAGCACCCATGAAAAGAAGTGTCAGAGAATCGGGAAAATAGTAGTCCCTGCAGACTGCCAAATCGAGCACCGCCAGAAGACCACACGCTCAACCAAGCATCGCCACGCCTTTCTGGCATCGTTTGAGAGACGTAGTTCGGCATATTCAGGCACATCTCAACCATTGCGGAACAGAGTCATCCCGTTTAAACGTCATCTCATTGCAAAAGCCTGGTGTATAGGAGCTCTCTCACATCAAACGAGCAGGCTGCGTCGGCCCCAGATTCGCTTCCCCGGTTTAGGCCCGCGAACTACTGCATCATATTCTCGCAGCGCGTCGTATGAGCGCCACAGCAGTAGACGTGAAGAGCGATGCATTCCTCATACAGTCCTCGTGTTCCAGCCGCCAGCACGTGTCCAGAGAACCACTTCTCGCCGGGTGAACCTGCAGGGCCGAAATACCGCATTTGCGCATTCCCAATGGCTGAACGTTGCCTACTTGTCGTTCCGACGAGCCAAATATCGACCGTGATTGTAAACGACCCGTGATATGATGACAGAGATTTCGAGCCAGTGGAGTGGGCGAATGCGCAGTGTTGAGCTCGTACGGTGTGGGTAGAATGTGATATCGCATGTGGATGTCTCAGCTCTTCTTCAGCGCATTTTCGTCAAGCGCTGTTGATCACGCCATGTCAGCACATACCTTCCGGTCTCCTGGCCAGAAGAGCGCAGCTACTGCGCCCGAGAGTCATCGCGATTCTCTAACTGCGGCATGAGATCGTGTGGTCCGATGAAGATTTCCTCGCCGCAGGTCTGTCTGGCGCTGATGCGCATCTAGTCTCTTCAAGCCTGAGCCATCTCTTCATCTTTGACCACCGCCGTATCATCATCTTGCTTGGCATGCCCATTCTCTCCTCCTGTCAGAATTTTCGTCTTCACCTTCTCGTCAATTGGTCCTCCAGGTGTGTATGAAACGACCTCGCCCTTTTCATCCACAAATTCAAATCGATACCGGCTGAGGTAATGTGGAATGGCGCTTAGTTGCGGACCATATCTTTGGCTGTTGTCGTACAGCTCGAAGAGAGGTACGGCTAGCAGCTTCATGTTCTTAGGCACACTGAGTACCTTGGCTTTGGGGAGCCGAATGAAGTATAGCTTTTTGCACTCTTTTGGGCGCGTCACGTGTGGAGGGAGGAATGGATACATGAACGTCTCGAAGTTGGGACGATACCACTGAGCGAGGGTGTCGGCGACGTCCCAATCTGAGTCTGCGGCCTCAGACGCGCCGAGTGAGCCCGTTGGCGCAAGGCGTTCATTCAGTCGCGCCTTGAACCCCTCGATCTCGTCGACGTCGTGCTGGAGGTAGTCACCGGGCCTATACACATATCAGCTCTGCTAGGCGCGTCTTAATGCGACACCAGATATATCCCTACAGCTTAAAGAATGCATTGGCGATTTGAAGCATCAGGACATGTGGATGGTTATGCTCATGGCAGACCAGAATGCCTTCACATGTCCTTCGCATGCCATGCTTCTCATAGTGCTCCTCTAATCTGCGCAGCCTGTCCTTCACTGACGGATCTTCTTCCGGCTGTGTTTCCTTGGTGCCAAAGGTGTAGTTGCTGAGCGGGTACAAACGGATCGTAGGTTGCTGGCGCTCATTGAAAGGCAGGATCGCCTTGGCGGGAACCGAGGAAAGCTGATGCTCTGGTGGTATGGTCGCCATCGCGCCTGTGGACTGTGTAGCTTAATGTATTCTCGTGTTTAGCTGTTGATCGATAGAGAAGCGACTGCTGCAGAGAGCTTCTTGGCCGCAACTCTATTAGTCGGCAGACCTGCACGCGACCTCGTCATCCCTGCTGCTACTGCCATCGCACACGACCTGCGATCAGGCGTGACAACAATCAAATCTCACATCCGTTCTGGCGAATACTGCGATATTCACATCAACTCATCCCCCTCCTACTGATCTTGTCCAGCATGTGTCGGTAAGTGCAACATTCACTCCATGTTTCCCAATCCGGTGACCCTAATCACCCTACCCTGGTCGTGGTCCTGGACCGAGCTTGAACCACGAATTCAATACTCCTCCTCCTCCTCCTCTCATCATATCCGAGGATCTGCAAGTTCATTCAATGTACTAATGATCACAAAGCTGGTTTGCATATATCTCCCCATCCGAGCCATGTCTGCTCGAAGACGTCCTGATCACACCCAAACACTCCCTGGTGAAGCAAGTTTCGGACCACTACTTACCCAAACTCCTGCCTCACGACGCCGAAGGCAATGATGACTCCTCGAACGACATCAAAGCGCGAAACTTGGTCTTCAACTTTGACGGTCTAGGAGTCGCCTGGTACACGTCCTCCAAAGCAGACTTCGAGCTCGCACGGCCGAGCAAGACCGCAGATGTAGCAGCAAAAGAGGTTCGTCTCCATGACTCCTCGCACGAACCCTACGTCTGGATTGATGAGGCTCACGAATGTGAGAAGACACTCCGTCCAGCATTGTACAAGACGATCCAGCCTCCCCGCAATGACTCGAATTTCCTGAGTATTTGTGCCAATACCGAGACAAGATGTCTTTTTGGGCATATCCGTGCGAGCTCAGGCACTGCGATTGCATATGTGAATAATCATCCTTTTGTGTTTGGTCGACATACTTTTATGCATAATGGAGCTGCAAGTGACTTCCAGGAGATCAAGAGGGATGTTGTGAATGAGATGAGCCCAGCTGCATATGCCAACGTGTTTGGCGGGACGGATTCTGAGTGCGTTCTTCCTGCCATGACAACCCCACTGAGTACTGACCTGATGCTATCATCCACAGACATATTGCTGGTCTATACATGACTTACCTCACAAACGGAGGCGATGCTTCTTCATTCGAAAAGACATACTCCATCCACGAAATGAGCGAGGCACTTCACAAAGCCGTGGCAACAATCATAACTCTTCAGCAGAAGCGTCGCGGTGACAAGAAGCGACCAAACTCACTGAATCTCTGCGCTACGGACGGCGTCAAGCTTGTTGCTTATCGATTCCGAAACCACCGAACATCTCAGCCACCATCTTTATACTATTCAACCAGTGCCGGAGTTACATTGAACCGAAAATATCCCGACAATGCCGATGGAGTGCAGCACCCCAAACGCGAGATCGGCATTCCGGAAGAGAAACACGGCGAGCATTTGATTGTCGCTAGCGAACCCAGCACTTACAAAGAAGCAGATTGGGAGTTGATTCCAAGGAACTCATTTGTGGCAGCCGGACCAGATGGGGTGTTTGAAGTGAAGGAATGTCCTTACGTTGATGATTGGAACGCAGAGGACCCGCCGTCCAAGTAGAAGATCAAAGATCAGGCTTTCAAATCCCTCCGTATCTATGGAACATTCTAATCGTCAGTCTTCGCTTCTCCCGCACAACAGACCTGACTGAATTGCTTCTCGTCTTTCGAAGAAATCTAGTAGATATGCTATCATGACGAAGTTAGCATCGGGGTCGAGACCTAAGGTTTGATCATGTCTGGATTACTTACCTCTTCATCTTCATCCTTATACGGCGAATCGCAGTTTTCTGGCTCCGCCTTTTTATTGCCTTCCAAGACGCCAGATGACTTGGCCGGAAGAACATTGCATGCTGGAAGTTCCATGTGCTCTTTACCGCTCTCGCTTGTCATCATCTTGTTCTTGTGATCCTTGTGTCGAAGGCCTGCTTCCGGCCCCGGAAGGGTGAGGGCCGTGTTGCCCTGAATGATGAGATTAGCTTGGAGAGGACCCGTGTCATTGAACTTGACGGTGTGATACCAGCGAAAGGATTGAGGTGGCGAGTAACTTCATGATGTAGGATACGTTCGTAGCCTCTGAATGTGTCTAGCTGTCGATGGCACAATGGACCGCACGTCATCTAGGTAAGAGGCTGTACTTGATTTGTCGAGTCGACATGTCACATATGTCTTGCGCCTTTCCAAGCGAGGCATGCTGTGGGCGGCTAACGTGTGGTCAGTCACCCTTCATTCCATGTAAACTTGAGACTTGTATCCACCATTTTCACCGGATCGCGTTGTGTTCGATGACTGCCATCAGTTTCCTGTACTCGTCCATATCTTCTCCACGGAGGAACGCCTTGACATTTAATTGGCTATCGTCCCTGGGGGTGCGTTCCGATTCGTAGAGTTCGCCATAGCCAAACACTCTTATAGTGGTATCTTCTTGCAAGCAGCGTTCAATGTGCTTCTCCATGTTATGTTCATCGTGCAGTCCGCGGTCATGAGTGACATCATGACGTTCGTCTTGTGCGAATTTTGCATACCTCGGACGTATCTCCAGCTGAGATAATCGAGTGTCGCTTTGACGAAGGGCTCGAAACACGGTCGCCCATGATACGCCGCCCTTGGCACGTGTCTTGTGGACGCTCTCTTTCGGCGAGCACAGGCAGTAATCCAGCTTCAAAGACTCCAGCGTCTGAGCACGAGCAGAGAGAAATCGTACTAGTTCGTGACCGATGAACACATTCTGAAGGTGGAGTCGTCGCAAATTTGGCATATCTCGGGAACGCAGCCCAACGGTGCCATGAAGTTGTGCTTGTAGACCAGGAAGACCCGTTGGAGACGCCCTTAGCGAGAGTTTCGTGACAGCAAGAAGACAGCAGAAGAAGAACTCGCGGAGCTGTGAAGTGAATAACATATAGCCAGGCAGTGTACGTGTGAGCCATCCAGCACCTTTGTCTGCACCCCAGACCGACATCTCGACAGTCTTCAACTTGCCCAAAAAGGCTTGAAACTCGGGTTGACGAAAAGCAGTCACTGGCCTGGGAACCAAGTCGACTACGTTCAGAGAACGAATAGAGTCGTTCTTAGCCAGAGCCAGCCATGTATCCGACATTAGAGACCGCCATAGCCAGCGCGACTCACGCTCTTCTGTCTGCGAGTCCCATTCCACCGCGTCGAAGTCATAGAAACCCGGCAAGGCGCCAGCCTCTTGAGTGAGCCAGTCCTCAGAATCGAAGTCAAACATGAACTGTATTCGAGCTTGAGAAACATGAGGAAGGTATCGTCCTCCTAGCAGTTGTCTCGTGGCAGCGGGAAGGGCCGAAGTGCCTGTCGGTCCACAATGAGTTTGTGGGTTAGGTGAAGTAGCAATGTCGTCCGCTGGACTTGCAAACCCTTCGAAGTGGAGTTCATTGATGTGCCTGCCATATTTCTTGGCCATCGACAGCGCAAAATTGGAACTCTCTTCATCGTTCGAGACCCGGATCGTTCTGAAAATCATAGGCAAAAGGCATTCCCTGAACCTCGAGTTGACCGCCGTCAGCGGTAGAAGGTCGACATATTCTAAGTCCTCCGCGATGCGCAACACCAATTCGGCAGGCAGCGATGGTAGGCCATCACCTGGCATGTCTGTTGCTGATGTCTGCTCAATATCCAGAGACGATCGATATCCTCGTGCTGCAACAAGTTCGAATGTTTTGCTGCACTACTTCGGGTCATTCGCTGCACTACTTCGGGTTTCTGTCCGCGTCTCTGATTGGTGGTGACAAAGCCAGTGAGTGATCGTCAACACAGGTCTATGACTGTTCCGCCACAAAGAGAGCATAAATCCAGGCAATGATGGAAGATAGCGCGCCCCGTGAAATGATTCAAAAGGCAAAGAAGAATTGAGAGCCGCTCGATTAGTGCATCGAAATGCTCTGAGGGTGTGCCGTCAAGAGAAGTCGTCCTTTGTCCTTCGCTGCTGTCACCGGTCTAACTTAAGTCCGCGACCGTCGATATCACATGTATAATGCATGCAAGAGGCGTGGAGCGCACGCGATAATAATTGCGATCATAGGCGACTATTCTTGAAGTCGCATGTTGCATAGATGGTCCGGGGTAACAGATGCATCGCTAGATAAACACTCTGGGACATTGCTAATCACGCTGTTCGTCATCGCGACGTTGGCAGAGAGGTGAGAATACTGCTTGACCGTCCGTCAATACCACAGGCCGAACTGGGCCTCGTCGGCCGGATGTTGAGCGAAGTCGCGAAGTGGTTGCTCATCACTGCTGACCTTGTGACCAGATCGGCCAGCCATAGGGGTTCCTCCGTTCAGGAGACTGGTCGTAGAACGTGCGAGGTCCCACTGTGGCATGGCGGGAAGGATGCGGTGGGCTTCAAAACATGGCCGTGGCCAATGCGGCGGTGCGATGACTGCATGAACAGTTCGCCGGTGAACTCCGTCGGCATCGCCAAGAGCGGGACGCGCGGTCAGTCAGGCTTTGCGGCCGGCGGAGGGTCGTCATTTGTGAGCTGCGGAGAGGAGGAGGAGGAGGAGGAGGAGGAGGAGGAGGATGACTGTGAGGTCGGAGGCTGGCTGGCAACATCCTCGCTCCGAAATGACCCGCCTCCTGCCAAGCCAACAACATCAAGCAGGAGCATTCCTTTGTTGCAATGCAAAGCTACATCCAGGCCAACTTCAAAAACGTGCCGATGATCGACAGCAAAAATGGCCGGTGGTCGCTGTTCAACAATACTCAGCTGCCAGCATCGTCCATCCAACAGTCGATTCTCCTGAATACCCTCGCATTCCAAAGACGTAGAGGTGTTTGACTGCAAAAGGTGCGGACTCAGGCGTACCAACTACAAGCACAATTCGGCAAAAATGAGAATCTAAGGTGGCATGGTAGGTAGAGGTCATGGTTCAGCTTTCATTTCTTCTCTTTGATCATGTCGGCATTGACCGTAGGACTATAAACTTGGACACAGCTGATCGACAGCAAGTTGCGTCAAGCAACAGCAGCTGCAATCGCCCTATGCTTTTCGTAGCTCTTGACGTCTCATCAAAGTTGAGCATTTACCACCCATCGCGGTCGTTGAAGTGCTCACGGAGGTGCTGTGGCGGGTCACGGTTGTTTGGGTCGTACTGGTCGTCCTGACCATAGTGCTGGTCGTAGAGCTGCTCAGATCGCTTCTTGGCCTCGTGCTTGGCCTTCTCACGATCAAACCAATCCTCGCCCTTGGTCTCGGCGAGTTTGTCGACCTCAGCGCCAGCGAAGCCGGCGATGAGCTCCTTGGCGAACTGGTGAGAGACTGGCTTGCCTAAGGCAATGATCAGCATCGAACCATCCAGGCAACTGCTTTCATTTCAGGAAACCTACCCTCCTTGCGCTGACGGTCCTCGAAATACTTCATGGCCGCAAAGCTAGCACCACCAGCAACGAGCTCGTGAGAGAACTCGGCCTTGTTTGGTTCGCCATCGTAGACCTGCTGGTACTGTTCGCGGGCCTCGCCTAGAAAGGAGTCAGCAAGGATATTGAGGGTACAGACCTTCGAAACTGGTACTCACCGAATCCAAACATCTTGAAGGACTGTAGGTGTAGGTGCAGAGTAATGCTTAAGCTAGAGGTGGTCTGTGGTCTAAGCTGTTGTCGTTTGTTGTAGGAGGAAGAGAACTCATGAACGGATGGATGAAGACAATATATACCTCTTGAACCCCTCTGAAACCCTCACCGTCAGGCCCCGCCAGCACAGCCGCTTGCTCGAGCTACCAGCACCAGCATGCGTGTCAATGGCACCAATGGTCTCAGGGATTGCATCACAGGCGTCCCCGAAACAGCCACAGGTCCCGCAGTCATCCGTCATCCAGTCAATTGGCCAAACGACGCAACCTTGCGGGCTCGTCCGGCCTTCTCGTGCAGAGCGCGTTGCATGTTGAATACGATTCCTGGGTCCGCGTGGTTGTGATTTGGCGACGGTGGGCGCGAAACACGACGTTGCACTGCCTTGACGTCTAGATCGGCGTCGAGGTGTTGATGTGGAGAGATCGGAATCGCCTCGCCATGACAGCGCGCCGAGAGAAAGCTTGATCGCTGAGATCTGCCTTGGCACCATGCTTGTCGACGCTTGTGCTTTTCTGCTCCGCCACAACACCGCTTCATGTCTGCGTTTGCGAGTCTGGCCAGCAGCCATCTGATAACGTTAATGATCTTACCGACCTCGCATCAGCACTTCAGCTGAGCTCAATTAGCTTCAGCGTACCTGCAGCGGCGCAGCAAGTCTCACGGGCCGTGTAGAGAAATGAGTCGACTTCCTACTGCCGCTGACTTTCCGCCGAAGCTCAAGCTGAGCATCGTACCGCGTAAGTACAGCAAGCAAGCATAGCCGGTCTGCTGCCAATCCCAATCCATTGAATAGGTCTGTAGCCCTGCCTGCAGCGTTCTCATGGAGATGAGTAGCTCACAAGCTATGCGGCTTCCACGGCCTCGACACGACGCTCATTCTCACTATTGAACCTCTCCGCTTCTATTCCTCTCATATCCTTTCAACCTCTCCTTGCTCGTCCGACCACCAAAGCTAACCAAACCATACAACAGCACCGAACAATGATCCACCAACCAACATCCTCGTCCTGCTCCACGGCTTGGGCGACACCCACGCCTCTTTCGCGAACCTGGGCAAACAGATGAACCTTCCCGAAACGGCGTGCATCTCCCTCCAAGGCCCTCAACCCCTCCTCGACCTAGGCGGATTCCACTATGGCGATGACATAATCTTCGACTCAACTTCAGGCGGCATAGACGCCGACGGGGGCTTCAAGGGCACGACTACAATTCTTCAAGGGCTCATCGACGACGTCCTGCTTGAGAAATGTGGCTATCAACGAAGGGAGATCATCTTCTTTGGGTTTGGCCAAGGTGGAATGGCAGCTCTGAATTTAGCAGGTAACAACAAAATTCTCTTCCTCGTGCTCGAACATTCTCGGCTAATGATCGCTCGCACAGCTCATATCCACGAATCTTCTCCAGTGAAAGATCCAACTCTGATCGAACTAGGTGGAGTTATCAGTATTGGAGCCGGACTCCCATCTTCAGCTCCAGCTTCCTTGGAACCAAAATGCAGAACACCAGTCTTGGTCTGTGCTGGCTCCGACAATTCTTCCGTCACAGACTCTTCGGAAGAAAAGTTGAGGAAGGTGTTTCAGAATGTTGAGATCAAGCGATACCGGAAAGCAGGGGATAGCATGCCGAGTAACAAGGACGAAATGATGCCAATCATGCAATTTTTCTCGCGCAGATTGAAGAGTGTGAAAGGTGTGCCGGAGGGAGCAGTCGAGGTTTCGTGACCGAAGAGATATCAGAATCACTCCGAAGGAGCAGAAAAGGTTGTCCCGTTGAACATGAGAGATGTGGTCAATATTGATACATTTCATTCAATCGACTACTTGACATGCATTCACACCTTCTAGCCTTCCTTTCCAATGCTATCGACAAAGCCTCTCACCCATCTCCAATGCAACGCGACATCAGCCTCTGCATGCGTCTCCAGAGACGACCTCGTTCCCAGCCCAGCTGATCCAACCATTTCCCGTGTCGCGTATGCAACAATTAATGTACAAGAATTCGAGTGCGCCTTACGTTCCGATGCAGGGTGTCTCATCTAGCCTTTATGTTTGCACGCGCAAGTCAGCCGTAATCGTGTCGTGTCAAGCAAGCTATGCCAAAGGCCATTTCGATCGAAGGCCATCGACCCAGCGACCATATATGACATTCTCCAAGAGGCCGATATGCTCCATGCCTGGTTCAGTCCTATTTCCCGGCATCTTCTCTTCCAATCTGGCCTTCTCATCTAAGGCGGCTTTCTCGCGATCGATTTGCAGCTGCTGGCTTGACCGCATCTTCTTGAGATGCGGGTTCTGCGACGCCATTACGAGCTTGGTCGGACTACTCTCCCGTTTGTTGGGAGACCTCGTCGAGCTTGATAGAGCATCTGTCGACTGCCTTGATTTCAGCGGCGACGATTGTGGTGTAAGGTCCCGGCTGACTTCTGTCTCTGAAACATTCATCGACTTCTTGGACGGCGACATTCGCAGCGAGGCCAGTTGAGCATTGGCAACCCGTTGAGGCATGAGAGCACTGGCGAGCTTTGGATCTGCTTGGATGCGATCGACAATGCTCTTAAGCAGAAGCAGCTCGCCCTGGGGATCCACCTCATCCAGTCTCGACCAGGCCTCGACAACATTGCTCAATGCCTCCCGGCGAGTGCGGTCTGCGGTGCCTGCAAACGTCTCCTGGAAAGCAGGATCTAGACATTTTGCAAATGCTCGCCGCCCAAGCACGGCTTCCTTCGTCGCAACTACTGGTTGCTGCTCAGCGGGCTCCACAACAGGAGGCTTGTTCTCAGCGTCACTGTCAAACACGCTGTCTTGAGGGGATGTACCTGTCTGCTCAGGAGGCGTCGAGGGTCGATTGCCTGAGCTGACGCGCTTGAATTGTCGCACCGTTGATGTGCCGTTGCCGAAGCACATGTCGAGCGCCAGAGGCTGTCTGGGCTGCTGTTGGCTGACCTTGCGTGCAGTCGGCGTTGCACCGGAAACACTTCGGCTGCCAACTCGCCGTGCTGTTGGGGTTGCAGATACCTTTCGTGCAGTGGGAGCAGCAACCTTGCGCTGGCTGCTCACCGTGCGCTGACCATTGGATGCGCGTAGCTTCGGCGTATGGATAGTTGATGCTTCCCTTGTCGGAGTTCTGACCGAAGCACTGAGAGGCGCATTGCTCAAGCTCATATGCTCCATAGCAGATGTCGCATTCTCAACGTCGGATGCGTCTCCAGACGGTATCCGCTCGAGCTTTCGTCTCTTCATCGTGGGTGTCTGCGATGCCTTTGGCCTGATACTAGCAGTCGGTTTGATCGTGTCAAACACCCACTCGTCGTTGTCTGGTGCATGGTTCATCGATCGCAATGTCTCTTCATAGTACCTGATGTCCTTCTCTCGTGCAAGACCGCCCTCGTCGTAATTCTTCACTTTTTGCACCAACTCTTGCAATGTCTCTGTCTTTCCTGCGCGTCGAATCCAGGCATGCTTGAGGAGTGACTTTGCACTTGGCCGCTTCTCAGGGTCCTTGTTCAAGCAGAGCGCGACAAACTCTTTGAACTCTTTGGAGAAGCGACTGCCTTCGAGGCGGGGAGGACGTTCCTTGGGAATCAAGAAGAGGACCTTCATCGGATGCACATCACTCCTCGGAGGCTCTCCAAGCGCCATCTCCATGGCAGTGATGCCCAGACTCCACATGTCTGCCTTGAAGTCGTATCCCGCCTCCTGGATGACCTCTGGTGCCATCCAAAAGGGCGTTCCAACAAATGTCAATCGTTGTGATTTGATGTTGGTGAGTTGTGCTGCAACACCGAAGTCTGCTATCTTGACCCGGCCTGATTCTGCAAGCAGGATGTTGGCGGCCTTGATATCGCGATGTATCTTGCCCGTGCTGTGCAAATAGTCCAGACCTTTCAACAACTCCCTCATGACGATGGCGATGTACTTCTCCTCGAGTCCCTTTGGACATGGCTTGAGCAAGTCCAGACATGAGCCGCCGCCGAGGTACTCCATCACTATCCAGAGCTTGACACCTCGCACAAACGAAGTCCGATATCGCGTAACATATTCTGAGCTGCATGTGGCGAGCAATGATATCTCTTGCTGGATCTCGCGAATGTCGTCGTCGCTACCTTCGAGGTCGATATGCTTGATGGCAACATAGTCGCCCGTGGGCTTGTGCAGAGCGCGATAGACGGTACCGAAAGAGCCACCTGGGAGTTATGTTAATCAGTATTGTTGACCGAGACATGTTCGCCATGAATTCTCCGGACGTACTCCCGAGCTCCTCCAGCATCTGGTAGTCCTCGTGCGCCATCTCGAGTGGGCTCGACGCCGAGCTCCAATGCTACGGAATGCCTGTGTTTACAGCCGGTTTCGCGGGTAGCAATAGTCGAGGAGAGGAGATGTTGGTTCTCGTGGAGAAAGATGGAAGGGAGGAGAATGATGTATGGTACCGCTCGGGGGTGGGTGTGGGCGTGGGCGTGGGCGTGGGCGTGGGCGTGGGCGTGGAGAGGGTCGCATGGTCGTGGCCGTTCATCAGCAATAAGGTAGTTATCGCGGATGGTCGTCAAACGAAGCCGTGCTGTGTCTCCCATGACAACAGCCCGCCCAGTCCGGCTGCCGTTCCCGCGAATCCGCCTCGTGCGCTTTGGCCTCCAACTTCATCCGATGTCAATGCATCCTGCAAACATCGAAGTCAACATAGTCATTTTCCCTGTGCGATATGCAGATGGTACTAGTACAGCTTCCGCTCTGCAGGTGGTGTCGCGTCGGCGTGAACGTGAAAGTGCAACTTGGAAGTGGATGCAATGGTCGGGCGGCTACAGCTGCACGCGCGCGAATCCCTGCTGCGGCTCCGTATCGATACACACCCGAAGCCTCGGACGGAAAGGCTGTTCACTGCATGAGACTTTTACTTTGACTTTCTCTTCGCACCTCTCCCTTGACAACAACCGAGATGAAGTCCACGCCTACACCCACGCTCTGCTGTATCAAGTGCACAGAGGCACACGATGAGAAGATGAAAACTGCGTTCATCCCCGCACCCTGCATCGTCGGCAACAACGTCTCGTTCCGCCGTCTCGGCTTTTGCGAGCATACAATGAAACATACACCACGAGTAATTCACCAGGCAACCAGGGGCTCACGATGCAAAGTAAGGCCGCCGTCGTCTAGCAAGGCAACAATCGAGAGACCAGCTTCAATGTCGAGCCCGATCACGCTTTCCTTCAACACGCAGCGATGCCAACATTACAGCCTGATGCGCCGACATGCTTTCGCACAGCGCATGTCCGAACCCTCTGCTCTTTGCTTTGGCCTGTCTCACTGCGGAAATCTTGTTCTTCGCACTATTTGAACCCGTCCCAGATTCCGTCCTGACATTCTCTGCATCGGGAACGACGCCAATGAAGTCGGTCTACGGGGAAGTAGTTAGTTAGAATGCGTCGCGACTGGAGAACACGGCCACGCTTCGAAATTTCTCTCGAATGCGCTTTGAACTTGTGCCAGGGTCAAATCGTCCTTGCATTTTCTCTCTAGCCCGCTATGCCATGCTATTCTGCTTGAAGAGGTAGAAGACCTGACCCTTGCCGTCTGAAACCGACATCGGCTGTAATGATCGAACAATGTTGAGTATCGAACGAAGACGATATTGATGCATCACGTAGAACATATGCAGCACAAAAGGCCCATCGACATCTTCACCTCTCTTCGCCTATCGATGAAGACAAGAGGGTCCAGACTCCACAGCCCTCACCAACACCAACACCCTGCATGAAAATCTCAACGGCCATCTCGGCCAAGAAGCGTGGAGAATGGGCCGCTCTCGGGGCGATCCCTCACTCACACCACCAATTCTACCCACTTCACTTCTCATCACCTTCTCATGATTACTCTACTATAATCCCAGACTGTCGCTATGGCCAACCAACAAGAAACAGATACTGAAGCAACCAGATCCAAGAATTCTACTGACACTGTCCGGAGTTACGAACCACACGAATCGTCTCCACTTTTGCCGACGAAAGCAAAAAATCGCCCAGACCAGAAATGGGGTAGACCAGTAGTTCTGAAGTTACTACTCACATCAACTCTTGTCTCATTATCATTCGGAGTAACACAAGTGCCGTAAGGAAACACCCTCAAGCCATCTTTCGTATGTTACTGATATATTTCAAAGTCTAATTTACGTCTTCGGCGTCATGACATGCGACCAATACTACCAAGATCACCCAAACCTTCCCGATAAGAATTGCCACATAACAGCAATCCAATCCAGCACGGCTCGGAGTGTTGCTCTCCTCGGAGCAGGCACAACATTATTCGGCGTCCTGAACCTCTTCTACACTGGTTGGGCCATAAAACGTTTCGGAGTAAAGTCCGCCCTTTTATCCTCCGTCTTCTGGCCTGCCGTACGTCTCGCAGTACAGAATGTTGGCGTTCAATTAGGAGGTGGAATTGGAATTATCATCATTCAATGTAGTCAGATGATCACGGTTGTCGGCGGACCAGCTGGCTATCTTCTGGCATTGAACTCGTTCGCGACCGAGATCATAGCGCCTGCTGAACGGACGGGGACGCTGGGGAGGTTGCAGGGCTGTGCCTTCTTCGGCACTGCTTTGGGCTACTTATTTGGAGGCCTTCTCAGTGATGGCTTCGGAATCATTGCCCCGTTCAGAGTCACTTTAGTCTTGTTCCTGGTGTCCAGCGCGTACATCCTGCTATTCTTGCCTTGGATCAAAGCGGAAATGAGTCCTGCCGACGAGAAGAAGACGAGATCGCTCTCTAGTTTCTTTGAACCGCTGAGGATGTTCGTTCCTCAGAAGTGGATCTTGGTGGATGGCAAGGTTAGAACAGAGTATGGAATCGTCTTGCTTGGTGCAGGCGCTTTCACCGCACTGCTAGCTACCGGCTACATCCCAGTGTTGCTGCAGATGTATGCGACAGATGTGCTCGATTTTGGCACGACGGAGAATGGCTGGCTGATTTCAGTCAACTCACTAATTCGAGGATTATACTTGACGTTCGCTTTCCCAGCGATCATATCTGCAGGGCGCAAGTGGTTGGATCGACGTGAGATGAGCGATGACAAGATTTCTGCCGAGGAGTCGCAAATTCCAGACATTCCCACAAGTCCAGAGGAGTTTGCATCGGGGCCTACACAAGCTGGACAGGAACCGATCGAGCCACCGAGACCCAAGGCCAATGAAGACGAGTCTTTCCATTTCGATCTCCTGTATACCAGATACAGCATCCTGGTGGATGGCATTCTGACAGCTTTAGCCACTTTGACCTCCCAAGGCTGGCATATGTACGTTGTGGCAGTAGTGTTACCACTTGCCGCCGGAACTGGATCTGCAGCGAAAGGCACAATCTTGCAGATGTGCTCCCCATCGCAGCGCGCTGATGCTCTCAGTGCCATCAGCCTTGTTGAGATGGTAGCGAGATTGGCGACGACGGGGCTTTTTGGATTCGTCTTCTCGGCCTTTGCATCAATCGGGCAGCCTTCCTTAACATTCGCAGTCAATGGCGCTGTGGCTCTGTTGGCGTTTGTGATATTCTGCTTCTGCAAGTTTCCTCCAAAGGGAAGCATACGAGTTGAAGAGGGCGATGCTGCGGACTGAAGCGAAGAGTAAGATTATGAATCCATTACAGTATATTTCGAACATAGTTCCGGACTCAAATGTGCTAAAAGGGGAGACCCGACGGCACAAAGCATTGGGATATATCAACAGGGACACCAGAACCACCACAAGACTAGAGAAGGACCCATGAGCACTTCGGAAGGTCCTGCCATCATGCGTTGCAAAGGGTCAGATACAGAGCCGACGCGGTAAACATATCCGCATCCAACAAGCCGGCCACGAACAAAGACGTGCGAAAGTCGTCTTTACCAAAGTTGTAGACCTCTGGCTGCCACGCGCTCTTCATCGTGTCGGAGCAGATGTCTGGAAATGCTGCAACTGTTCTCCTTCTGGCTTCTGCATCGATACTCGGGGCTGCTGCATCGACGAACGTGCTTGCTGGGTAGACTTGCGCGGCATCGAGACACTCATCTTCCGCGGATCCGGCTGATCCTGATACAGCTTTATAGATCTCTCTTTTAGATCTTCACAAAATTCCGGCAGACGTGCCGCGAGTGCTTTCTCATATTTCTTCTTCATAGTCTTCGCGCTGAAGCCGTCAAACGTCAACCAGGTTCTGTATTTGCAGTGACCGTCCGAGGTCTCCTCAATCTCATTCACGCGTTCTGTCTTCAAGACGAAAGCTGGTGTCAAGAGATTTGCGTTGTCGGACGTCCAGCGTATTCGCGTCACGTTTCCACCCATGCTATGCGACTCTTTACCATCGTCTTTATGCTTCAGTGGCTCCAAATGCCTGCACACTGACTTGGTCTCCTTTCGAACATCTGATGTGATTTGGTAGGAGACGGTCATGAAGCAGCCTTGCTCCATGCGAATGTCGCGACTGTGTGGGTTGGAGTGCTTCGTGACGATCACGTCTGGGTTGAATGAATTCCATTCTCGCCATGTTCGAATGTCTAGAAGTGCCTCGTATGGATATTGTGGTGGAGTTGGGATGCCAATTTCCGCGTAGACTGAAAATACGCCGCCTTTAGGTATGGTTGGAGTTGCTCTTGGCCCGGTATGGGCATTTGACCTGAATTGATGGTCTGTATATGCCGCTCCCGGGGCCATGGTGTTTGGTTCTCGCTGTTCTCAATATGACTCGCTGGAGGGATTGCAGTTGGGTGCTGGTGACCAAGCTTCGGGAAGCTGTAACTGTCGCGCGTTTATGCTAGACAACGCTTGAGGCAACGCGGCTATACAATGCGCTGGAATGAATTCGCATTTCTACAGGATATTAACACCACTACCACAATAATAAGTGAGGTAGGAGCTGTGGTGTGCACTTTCAAGATTCATGGGTAGACTATTGCGCCAAGACTCTCTTGGCTGACGCTACGCTGTCGTTCCAAGAGCATTTATCCTTCCCAACTTCACACCAAGAAGTGAGCAGGCAGGAAAGTAGTTCAAGTGAGTATATACACCATGTTTGCTACGAACCATTCCCGCTAACCCTTCACGCCCAAGGTCTTTGTCGCTCACTTTCACATAAAAGATCTTTGGCCCGGGCCCACCTTATGTGACGCGTCAGCTCAGTCACATGACTGTCACATGACTCCTTGGCATATGAAGAATTTTCACACTGTATGTATTTTAGACCAGAGAATAGACAGAACATAGGTATTTAACGAAGCCAATTTGAACCGCCAGCAAGGCAGTATTACGTAAGTCATCCACTGCGCTGTGCGTGATACCTTACACAGCCAGGAACAAATCACGGAGGATAATTCCGGCAAGGTTCACCAGAGGAAACAGGTTGGCAACACTGGGCACCATCCTGCCCATCACTCGTGGTCTTGCCGTAGTGCTTGAGACATGCCTCCTTGAACTTGTCTCCATATGACCAACCAAGGTCGACGCACTGCGTTTGAACGTCAGTAAAGGCTCGCAAAGACTGAGCAAACTTTGCAGGCACGTACAGCACCGAATGTTAGATCGATCTTTTTTCCGTTCCGGTACTCTGGAAGGGTCACGTAAGAACCCCCGAATTGAGGGCAGACCGCTTTTGTTGCAGTCTCGTCTTCAATTCCATCTCCGGGCCTAAGGCAGAGACAGTGGTTTGGATGATTGCTTTGCGCTGGCGGAGCGGCAAGAGCAGTGGCTGTAGCGAGGGAGAACAGGCTGAACGCAAGTCAATTCTGACGTGAATGTATCGAGTGTCTGAGCTACCGACTCACGTAGAGATTACGAGTATGAGCTTTGTAGTCGCCATTGTGCCTCGTGATCAGCGGCGAGAAGTCAACAAATTTGAAGCAAGTCAGGTATAAGTATATCAACCAAGACAAGGGTGTAAATCAAGCCGCCACGGCGGCTGGGCTTGACCAACAACTTCCATGGTTGTTTACAGGCCATATATGGACCGCCAAGAGGTCCAATTTGAAGCCTTGCAATCGCATGGCACAGGCCTGCAAACGAGGAGTTGGAATGAAGCTGAACTGGACCCCACCCAGAGGCTATTTCTACGGGTGCGAGTTAGTGTTGTGCTTCCACCGTGGTTATAAAATAGGGGCAGTGTCTACCGATAAACCCGCTACGTACGTACGAGTGGACATACGGAGGGTCTTATCGTATCGGGGCTAGCTACTAAGCTACTATATAAAAGTAGATAAGACGCGATATATTATATACTAAGAGTAAGTAAATATAGGGAAATATCTATAGACTCGCCCTATAAGTACTATTAGGGTTAGTAACGGCGCTATTATCGACCTCGCCGTCTAATATAGCTTTAAGTACTTCTTCCAGATCGTAGAAGTCGTCGTCTATAAGCTAGTTATCGTTAATCCTATACTTAATATAAAGGTTCTAATATAGATAGACTAGCTTCTCGATAGTAGTATAAGATAAGCGATTATAGCGGAGGCTTATAATAAAGCTATAAGCTAACTAGTTACGCTTAGCGGCACTAGTTATTAGTACTATTAATAGCGCTAGTATTATTAATTCCGAGAGATTAGGGTATATAGATTTAATATTATTATACTACTATTATAAGTAAGTAACGCGTACGTAGATACTAGATATAAGACTTAATAGGTTCGATAAAGAGCTAAGTCTATCTATATAAATCCGAATGATTTTATATAGTACGCTAAGCGCTAAGTAGTAGGTTAGAATCGCGTAGGCCGAATATCTAAGGCTAGTACTTTCTACCTAGGGCGTAGCCCTTTATATTACCCCTGTCCTCCTCCGTTTCCTTTATAGAGATAGAACGCCCCTCGTAGTTTCTAGCGCTATTACCTTAGATATTAGATCTATACTTATCTAAGCTTTCTAAAGTAACGCGCTCGTAGTTTCCTTCCGCGCGTCTAGATTTTCTACTACTTTCTAGTTAGGGTTGCTATATCCTAGGTTTTAGGAACTATTACTTTCTTCGCGACTTCTAAGCCGCGCTCTTTTACCTACTAACTACCTTCTAAAACGCGCTATAACTGCTTTTTTAAACGCTTTACTTATACTCGCGCCTTCCTTCGCTTTACTTCTATATCGCTTTCTAGGAGTATTAATATTTTCTAGGTTCCTCTTTTCCTTCTTCTTCTTCTTTTTCTTTATATACCCTTACTACTACTACTACTACTACTACTACTACTACTACTACTACTACTACTACTACTACTACTACTACTACTACTACTACTACTACTACTACTACTACTACTACTACTACTACTACTACTACTACTACTACTATAGTAAGTTCCTACCCTATCTTCCGCGATTTCCTTCGTAAAATTAACTTATTCTAGATAGCTCGTCGAATCTACTATATTAGTTGCTATAACTCTAGTAAGGACTACGCTAGTTAATCTATAAGGTATCCGCCTTTTTTATCGCGGGGTTCGCTAACTTTCTTTAAGCCCGCCGGCAGCGGCCGGCTTAAGGGCTTATACTAATTATACTCGTAAGAGAATCGCGTACGTCCTACTATAAGTTTCTCCGATTCCTATACTAAAACCCTCGCTAACTATTTAGTCCTTAAATAGCCTACGTAGCCTACGCTAGCTATACCCGCGCGACTCGTAGCAATCTCGCCGCTAAGTACGCCGATCTTCTTAAGGTCCTTAAGGTATAGAAGGCCTTAAAGTCTCTCTAGCTATAGGGATTATTATCTAGGTAAATTTTCTTCGTTTTCCGCGATAAAACCCTCGCTAACCTTTTCTTTTAGCGCGGTAGCCTCGGAGGTAACGAACACCGTCGCTAATATCGTAGCTTAATAGACCTAGACGTAAGTATTCTACTCCTATCCGTCCGTTTTCTCTCGCTAATCTCTTTTTTAGAGGGGTTCCTACCGCTCTTAGGCTCGGAACTAATTGTAACGGTCCGGAGGTATAGGAGGCTACTAATTAAGGGTTCCCGTAGGTTTTCTAGTAGGCTCTAGGTAGTTTCGGAGGTATTATTATTATTTTTTTCTATCCTAAGAGGACCTCTTAATTTCGGGTAGAGACCCGATACTTACTTATAAATACCTAAATAAAATCTTTCTCTACTCCTAAATTATATCTCCCTTTCTAAATTCCTTAAGTAAACTAAAACAATCCTTAAACAAAACTAATAAGTTAGTAAAACTCTAAAGGTTAGTAAAATCCGTAAAATCTATAAATCGATAATCGTTACTCTATAGTAAAACTCTAGGTTACCGCTTTATTTCTTTCGCTTTCCTCTCTTCTCCTAGTCTCCTAAAGGTCTATCGTTCGTCTCGATTTCTCTATATTTTACCTCGAAATCGTTTAGCGCCGCGGTATCCGCGATATTGTATAAGAAGGGTATGTTAGTAGGTAGATAGGGTAGTCGTAGGTACGAGTAGTATTCGATAAGGAGCTAGGAGGAGAGGGAGGAAGGTAGGCAAGTTAGCCTATTACTAAGCGCTAAGCCCTGCCTAAGGCATTAAGACCCTAGCTTTACTCGAGCCCGGTTATATGCTAATTACGTATAACCTCTTTAGTCCTAATATACGCTTCCCTTCTAAAGGCCGCGCCCTCGTAGCCGGTCTTTGTCCTAGTCTCAACCTCTGTTGCTACTAACTTAGCAGGTCTAATAGGCCGCTTAGTCTACGCTAAATTGAACGTATAACTACCGATTATATAACTATGTCAAACCTTACCTCTAATATAGCACAATGTCTAACTCTAACTACGCTATCCCTATATATAATAAACTATAAAGTAATATATATCTATAAGAATTAAGGGCCTTCGACTAATTACAATACGAGCGCGTCTTCCCTACTATAATAGGTAGACATACGAGGTATTACAGCCCTACCTCCGCTCTAAGTAATATCGTACCGAGTTCTTTGCGTCTACTCTTAAAAAACCTAGCAATGTCCGCTTCTAAGGGTTTGTCCGCTTCTAAGGGTTATTGTTCTTATTGTTCGTAGTTTCGCTAGCCCTAATTAGCTAGGTTTAGTAGCCTCTAAGTGTTAATCTTATCTTATCTTTTCAAAAAACTCAGTTCTTCTAGTTTCTATAGGTAAAGGCTATTATAAGTGTAGTAGTAGAGGTTCGCCTCGCTTAAAGGATCGGAAAGATTGAGGAGTAACCTATTGTCCGCAAGATCGACCCTAGCTAGCTTAGCTCTATAGTTTTTGCCCTTAGTTAGTTAGTCTATTAGTCTACTTAATCTTTTAAGCGGCTTAAAGTTTTAACTTGGCCTTAAAGTTTTAATTAAAGTTTTGATTAAAGGTGCCTTAGGCTCGTAGTATAGGTAAGGTTGTGTCTATAGGCGTAGTAATAATAGTAAGTAATATTAATAATAGCGGCGCTAGTCGTCTTAGCGCTAACTTCACCTTCTTCTAATTTCCTTCTTTAACTAACAATATACCCCGCAATACTATTACTAATATAGCCGCGCCGGCCGCGCCGATTGCCTAGGCCTCGAGGCCTCGACGGAATAAGGGAACAAGAGAGGGACCTATAGGGCGCGTTAGTAAAGAGGTGGAATCCTTAAAAGAGCAGGCAATTAGTTAACGCGTCGTAGCGCGCTTGTTAACACTCGGTGCGCGTTCACTATAGTAGTGTAGTCTTATTGTCTCTTGTTGCTAACAATTGCTTATAGCTAATTAGTTAGCTAATAGTACCCCGGGGGTAGTATTAATCCTAGGCTTAATAGTAACATTATAGGCATTATAAGCTCTTAGCCTTCTTCGTGTTCTTTACGCTAGTCTAATACTTATCTAACAACTTAGTTATGTCTTTAAAAGAGGCTTTAGCTTCCTATAAGTCCTATTTAGGTAAATAGCCCTGCTATCTTAATAGGTACTCCTTCTTGCCCTGCCTAGTCCGATGCTTTAGGATACGTTCTATAGACTATAGCTCTTTACTATTAGCTAAGACTTCTTCTAACTTAGCAGGCGCTTTATCGCCTTCGCGCTAGTAGTATAGTTTAAGGAGGGAGATATAGAAGGTGTTATAGATAGTATAATAGGGTAGAAGCTATAACTAGTAGGCCTAGCTATTGCCCTTCGGTTCTCGGATGCGAAATAGGCTAATATATCTTAGTACGAGCTTAGGCCTTGTTTTACTATTAGGCGATAGGTGTTTGCGGATGCGGAGGTTCTTAGTGCTAAGTATAACTATATCGCCTTGTTTAAAGGTTATTAGTGTATAACGCTTATCGTAGTAGGCCTTTTAATATTCTTAAGCCTTTGTTAACTTCTTAGCCACCCTAGTACAGATTTCTCGCATCTTCTAGATACGTTCTATTGCCGCTAGTGTCTCTAGTACTTAACGCGCTTCCCTTTCCTTACGCTCGGCCTCGAGCGAGGTAAATAGATCTTATAGCAACGCGGCGTTTTAACCTATTATAGCTATATATAGTGAAACCTTAGTTAATAAGTATACACTGTTATTGTATACGAATTCTATAGGCTATAGGAGATTGACCTAATCCTTAGGATTCTCGTTAATATAACTGCGTAGGTACTGCTATAGGGTAGCATTCTGCCTCTCTATTTAACCGTTAGTCTATAGATAGAAGGCTATTAATAGCCGATGCTTTAGTCTTAGCTATAGGTATATTTCGCTCTAATAGTACGATGTGAATGTCGTGCCCCTATCGGAGACTATCCCCTTAGGGGTTCTCTAATAGGTATAGAAGATGTTAGTCTATAGCGCCTCTACTATATTAATAGCAGTCTAATCCTTGCGCGCTAGGATATATCGAGCGCCTTTAGTAAATCGATCTACTATAACAAGGATAGCATTATATACGTCCTTACT